CTGACGCCGTCATCTTCTGCAACAAATACTATGCGCGCGCATTCGTTGATCAAGAACCATAAGTTCTCAATAATTCCTTGTAAAAGCGAAGCGAAATTTACACACGCGCGTCGTCGCGCACATGCCGAAATCCTTCAAAAACCTTTGGGCTCGTAAGGAATTCAAAATCGAGTGCCCAAACAAACGCACAAAAGCACATGGCATCGCAACACGCATTTTCAACAAAAATGTGCGCGCATTCTTGCGAATTCTTAAGAAAATTTCCACTGGTGATTCATTATTTTGAGAAAGTGCTACCAAACGGGTTTCGCGCGCTCGCATGTTGAAATCATTCGAACGCCCTTGCGCGCCTGCCGTTTAATGAGACGATATGCACGCGCGCTCGTCGTCGCGCGCGCATGCCGGAATCCGTCTTAAACCTTTGCGTAGCGATTTCAAAACCGAGTGTCCGAAACACATACGAAACAGAGGTTTGTCAATATCAGTTTGCCCAAAGCGTGCGTTCGCGCTCTTGCGAATTCTTGAGAACACCACCGTTTTGTTAATCAGTTTCATGGACTTCTGCCAAGCGGGCCTTTGGCTCCGCATGCCGACATCATTCGCACGCCCTTGCGCGCGTGTTGGGGGGGGCACGAAACGTGCCAAAGAAAACCATGCGGGCCACTCGCGCGTCGGCCGCGCGCGCATGTCGAATTCTTTCCGAAACTGTCATCGCCGATGCGAGGACGCCGTCATCGTCGTCGGCGCGATCAGCATCGGCGCCCGCGCTGTCCGCGCCGTCGTCGTTGTCGACATCGTCACCAGCGTCGCTACTATCATCATCGTGTCTACCGTTGTCGACGTTGCCATGATAGCGCGCCCACCCAGGTCGCCGGCTCGCACTCAAGTGCCCGCTGGGATGGGCCTGGCGGTCAGCGCCACCACGGCCGCGTCGGTCGCGCCAAACTAGCTGACCGCTGCGCGCGCGTGCTTGGGTTGGCGCGGCCGCATAGATGGACCGACCAACATCAACCACTCATCGCAATCGCCGCCGCATGTCGGTTTGCAAACCAAGTTGCGGGTGGGTGGGTGGGTTGGATGATTGCGCGAGCAGTGGAGGTGGTCAAGCGCGGTGCAGGTTAATTAGTCACTTGCGCAACACCTGATGCACCACATTGTTTGCACCACGCAGATTGCGCCACATAGCTTCCACCACATAGGTTGCGCCACATAGATTGCATCACCTAAGATGCTAGAGGGCAGCGTTTCGGGTCAACGTTGTATACCATGTGCATGTAAATAGTTTTGACTACAATAAATGTGTATATTAGCACATGCTATAATCATATATGCATTTATGCATATACATAGCCATGTGTATACATGTATGTGTGTATGTACGTATGTATGTATGCGTGTATGCATGCATGCATCCGTGCATGCATGCACGCATGTATGAATGTATGCATGCATGGATGTATGTATGCACACATACGTCATAGCATATGGGCGAGAAGGGTTTCGAGGGGGCGTTCCCCCAGGGGTCCAAACGTACACTTCGGCCGGGGAAGGCGGCCGGGCGGCCTTGTCAGACTTTCGGACGGTCCAAGATGAGCTATTCTATTTTTCATAACGACCCAAGTGTGACCCTAGACGCCCAGGACGTTCCACGAGGGTTCCGAGGCGGCCAGCGAGGGACCCAAGATAGGCCGGCATGTCCCCGGAACTTCATTAGAAAAGGCCCCCCAAGCACCCCGAGGACGGTCTCAATTGGCAGAAATCCATACTTGGTGTTTGTATTTGATTGATATTTGCGCTCCCACATGCCAAGGCTTTCGACAGCCCAAAATGGCTCCAGAGGCGTCCAGGATCCTCCCAAGATGGCTCTCGAGGCATTCAATTCAGCCCCATAGAGCGCCCAAGAGGGCCCCCAAACTTGTGAGCACCTGGGGGTCTGGGACGGTCGCGGAACTTGTTGCGGGGTATCATTGAGGAGCCTCGCCAGAGCAGCGCGTGCATAATCTGACAGTTACAGCCTTTTTATAGCCATTTTCGAAGCGGAAAAAAAAGCATCACATTAGTAATCCGACAGTTGCAGCGTTTTTGAAAAGCGTTTTTGAAACAAATTTATAAGACGAAAACATCGATCGTAATCTGGATTCGTTTGCGCAGGTTCGACTGGTGATTGAGAATGCAAGACGCTCCTACAGAGCACAGACGGCCTGTTGTAGACCTGTCGTAGGCCGTTTGGGGCCCAAACGGCCTACGACAGGTCTAAGACGGCCCAAGACGGGCCAAGATAGTCTCCAAGACGGCCCACAAGGAGCCCAAGATGGCCGTCAACGCGCGCCCCAGAATTGCTCCAAGACAGCCCAATGAGGACCTCGAGAGGCCCCCATAGGCCCCCCAAATACCCCCAAGAGAATCCAGACGGCATCCAAGAGGCCTTGAAGAGACCCCCATAAGGCTCCCAGGAGCCCCTAAGGTGCTTCCGACGAGGCCCCAGAGAGGCCGCTGTCAGGCCTCCTTCAGTGTTCCCCCAGCAGATTCTGCAGCTGCGTCGTCGATGTCGAGGATCGATGCTCGAGGTGTTTTGAAACGCTTCTTATGTCGCGAGGTCCCGCATCTTCACCCCCGAAGGTCCCGCGGAGGCCTCTGGAGGCCCGAACGGCGCCAAAAGCGTTCGAACCCCCCACGTCCCGATTGCGTCTGAAAACAACGTCCCTCGACGCTCGAGGGGAAGACTGAGCAGGCAGGAAGGGGTCTCCCCCTCCGCCGAGGGCCTCCAGAGAAGCCCAGCACGGTCCGTGAGCGCCTCAAGACAGCGCAAGGTGGCATCACCTTGGCCCACAAGCCTCCGGAGCTGTTCGTGAAGGGGTGTAGCGTGGTCCAGAATCTCAAAGTTTGCAACGCGATTGATCTTGCAAAGCAGCCCGTACTCATGCACATGTGCAGTAATCAAACAGGTGTCATTTGACCGACTGGAACTGTGTGGTGTGCAGCAGACTGGGGGCGTACAGTGTGCCGGATACCCTTGAGGCTCGAGGGTGCTTTTTGTCTCGTGCGAGGTGGCGGCGTTGGTTAAGGAATGTGCCCAGACAGGATTCCCTATTTGATTGGATTGTCAGTGACATTTGTGGCCAGGCCCCAGTTCGTGTTGCCCCAGCTTTCAGACCCTGGATTTCTTGTCCAAGCGTTCCCGTTGGGGACGCGGAGAGGTCAAACAACAATGCCCTCGCCATCAGTTCCGTGCGCTCGTTCTTGGCGCAGGGACCGCCGCCGTCGCACCGTGTGCCTCCCGCCCGGGGGGGAGGGCGGCCTCGCAAAGGCTTGCCGAGTGCTCGGTTTCGGCCGTCTTCCCCAGCTCTTTCGGCACGAGCTGCTTTGTCCTAAGCGACCAGGTGCAGTGCCCGAGCAAACACCCACAGCGAGATCTCAGGATGAGCGTTCCCGTCTGCGGCCTGCGCTCGCAGATGGCGGCGGCGCCGCCCGAGAGCAAACGGCAGGTGAGCTTCGCAACGGAGACGCATGGCTCGGAGGGCTCTCCGCCCAGCCGCGTCCACTCGTCTGACTCTGACCTCAATGACGATGTGGCAGCTGGCGCCTGCAACGGGCAGTCCTCGCGAGCGCGGCGCGATGCCATCGAGCGCATGAGCAGCGGCGGCAGCTACCCGGTGCAGGTCAAGAACACGTTCATAGAGCTCCTGGAGGAGGGCGAGGAGGAGGACCCCATGTCGCTCTCCCTGTGGCCGCGGAGCAAGACTGTGCCCACTGGCACGGTCGCCTGCGACCACCGTCGTGGGCTCAGCGACGCCAGCACCATCGCGAGCAGCGACGAGGTCTAGACCTCCCAGATGGTGTCCGAGTAGACAGGGTCGGAGGATCGCGCCGCATCGCCGATGCATCGCCGATGCGGCTCGATGTCGAGCCTGATTTTCCTCGCGCAGGCGTCGCCGATGCGTCGCCGACGTTGGCGATGCATCGGCGATGCGTTGGCGATGCGGCGCGATGTTCCGACCCCGTCTGCTCGGACCCCATCCGGGAGGTCTCTACGAGGACGGCCGCGCCCCGATCGCAGACGAGCCGGCAGGAGAGCACGCGCCGTGCGGAGGCTCGGAGGTGCGCCGCGAGCGCTTCGGCAGCGGCGGCGGCCACTCGGTGCAGGTCAAGAACACGTTCATAGAGCTTGAGGACGATGGTTCGGTACCAAGGCCGGGGAGCCTCGTGTACCCTCTCAGTTCTGTCGTCAGCGTCGGTTTGCGTCTGGGAGTCGATGAGGCAGCGCCGATTTGGCTTCGATTGGCGTCGATTCAGCGTCGAGTTAGCGTCGAGTTAGCGTCGACCAGCGTCGATTCGCGAGAGCCGGCAAGACGGTATGGGAGGCTTCCATGAGTTGCCACTGCAGAGCAGGATCGAACAAAAGCAAAACTGCACAGGCATTTCCGGAGCTCCATGCTGAGTTCTTGGATCGGCGCGGGGCGCCCCTGGCGGCGCCCCACGGGTGCCGCCCTGGGCGCGCTCCGAGGCAGGGGCCGCTCCGAGAAGTCCGCGCGGAGCTCCGACAGTTTCTGTCTGTGCCGTCTTCCTGGCATCGCTTGGGCGTGTGCATTTTTTTCTCGGCGGGAACCATCGAGGACCATCCTCGACCAAAGAGCAAAAAAAAAACAAAAAAAACGCACGAAACCGAAAACAAAAACACGGGAAATGGACGTCCGAGCGACGGCGAGCCTCTGTTTCATCTAGAGGAGGATCCCATCTCGCTCTCCCTGTGGCCGCGGAGCAAGACGGTGCCGCACGGCGAGCTCAGCCACGACCTCCTCGGCACTGGCGAGGAGGGTGCCGACGCGAGCAGCGACGGCGAGGGCGGTGCCGCCCCGACGGGGTACGAGGCGGCGGGAGAGCGACTGCGGTGTGGCAGCTCGGAGGGGCTTCTCGAGCGTTTCAACGGCGTCGGCAGCGTCTCGGTGCAGGTCAAGAACACCTTCATTGAGTTGGAGGAGGATGACGAGGAGGAGGATCCTATGTCGCTTGTCTCGCGAAGCAAGACGGCGCCGAGTGGCGCGCTCGGTTGCGACTCCCTCCTGAACCGCGACGGCGCAGGCTCCGACATGAGCAGCGACGAATATGGCGGCGGCCCGACCTTGGGCGAGTCGGTGGGAGGGCGAGTGCATTGCGGCAGTTCGGGTGAGCTCGTCACTCGTTTCAACAGCGTCGGCAGTGTCTCAGTGCAGGTCAAGAACACCTTCATAGAGTTGGAGGAGGATGGCGAGGAAGAAGATCTCATGTCGCTTGTCCCGCGGAGCAAGACGGTGCCGAATGGCGCGCTCAGTTGCGGCATCTTCCCGAGCCGCGACGGCGCGGGCTCCGAGTCATGCGGTGAGGACGGCGGCGTCCAGGGCGTGGACGAGCCGGCGGCAGGCTTGGCAGCGCAGCAACCGACGCTCTTCTGCAGCACGCCGACGCCTCGCTGGGAGGCAGCCTTGCCGACGCTTTGGCCGGCGGCGGCGGTGCACTCGGGCGCAGGGCTGACGTCTGGGCACGCGCCAGACACGGCGGAGGGTCCCAGGCGGCAGGAGCGTGAGGAGGGCCCCGCCAATGCCGAGGGAGTCGCCCGCAGCGCGGAAGCTGTCACTCGGAGCGAGGGTTGCGGCCCCAAAGACCCGAAGACGATGGGCGGGAGTCGGAGCCTGCAGCAGCAGACCCTGCAGTCCAGTGAGGTCGACGGCTTCTCGCGCGCGCAGTGGACCGTGGACGGGCGGAAACTGAGAGGCTCCGACAAGCGGCTGGTGTCGCCATCCTTCGACCTGGACCTCGGGCTCGGCGCAGGCCCCGTGGCGTTCGTCCTCGTGCTCTACCCCAAGAGCGCGACCTTCAAGGGCAGCTCGTCCTTCAAGGAGGCCGGAGGCCTCGGCCACGTGCAGCTGAAGTGCGTCTCCGAGCTGGACGGCGACGCTGCAGCTGTGAAAGTCCGCCTCTCGGTCGGGCGGGGGCGAGCGCGGCAGCTCCGCGGCCCGTTCGTGCACAGCTTCGCGGCGAGCCCGCTGCTCGCGCTGCCGAAGGCTCAGGCGGAGTGGGACTTCGGTGCCGCTGTTGAGGGGCAGCCCGCGTCCCTCTTCGTGAGCGTGGACGTCGCTCTGGCTTGAGCCTTTCGACCCAGGGGACCAGAGCTGCCGCCGGCGCCCGTGCTCACGGCAGGTTGGTGTCGTGTCGACGCTACGGCAACGCCCTTGGCTGTCGTTCTGGGTTGAAGGCCTCTGGAGGTCTGATGTCGACCAGTGTCAAATGATCTCTATTGTCCCCGATCGTTGAAAATTGACGATCCACGCAGCGTCCGAAACCAATTCGCAAGTCGCCGCTACACAAACTTGCCGTGGCCGTGGTCAATTGTATGATTTTTGCCACCTCTCTTCGCGAATTCGTTGGTCCGCGATCGACACAAGTTCAACCAGGCGGGCTCTGCATTGGTGGCATTCGCCCACGTTTGACACCAATTCAGGCAGGTGGGACAGCATTGCAAGCGAATTCGGCTCTGCTGCAGCAGCGGAGCATGACCCTCTGCACTGCTCAGCCGAAGCAGAGCAGTGTGTCCTGGCCTGTCTCTCGAATATCTGGACCGCAACGCTGGCGTTGGCGGTCGATTACAGTGTTAGTACGTACTCGTAGTTGAAGGTTCACGACGTCCTAAGCGACGCGCATACAGGGCCGATCACCTGCGTGCCTATCGATACGCTTGGGGCTCGTAACACAAGAGTTATGATACCTGTGCTCGACTCCGGCCTAAGCCCGGCATCCACGCTCTGTCTGAAGAGTAACGTTGTCCTCGCACCAGGGCGACAAAAACATGTGTGCTCCCCGCTTCGGCATCTGGGTGCAGCCCTCAGATTTCAGACGCCCGAGTGGCCCGCGAACCTTGCCGGAACGACGGGATCGTCGTGATGTCGAGCTGTAAGAGAGACGGGGGTCGATGCAAGCGGGGTCAGCCAGAGCGCCAGATCTTGCAGGATCTTGGAGCCAGGGGTGCATTGACCCGTGCTTGCGCGCAGGATCGCGCAAGATCCTGCAGAGCCTGATTGGCCCGGGCTTGCATTGACCCGGCTTAGTGCGTCCCCGATGATGGAGGATTGGTGAAAGGGGGGTAATTGTTGCCGCGGGCCTCCCTACGCCGGTGGGTGGCGTCGAAATACTTTGTCAAGAAAGCCCTCGTGCGGTCGATGGTGACGCCCTTGCGCAGCGTCTGGCCCTGCGACAGCGTGGAGGTGAGCTCGGACGCGTGCGTCAAAGTGAACCCCGAACGGCGCACGACGTGCAGCCCCGAGCTTTGCCATGTGAGCTCCTGCTCGCTGGGCCTGAACATCAGCAAGCTCCGCGCCCGCGCCTCGGCCTGGCCGTCGTCGCCAGCGCCTTTGGCGCCCTGTCGCAACAGCTCGGTGACCTCGTGGTAGATCGGAGACTCCTTGAAGCCGTGCACCTGCAGCCAGATTCCTTGCAGTACGTAGCGGGGGCCCTGGCGCGCATTCCTCGTACTCGTGCTCGCCGGCGGGGTGAAACTCAAAGGACACGATGGTGGCCCTTTGCTCTTGCACGAACCCCAAGTTTTTCCTCAGCTCCTCCTGCACGGCCGAGAACCGAACCTCTGTGCCAACGTGTGCCAGTAACGCACCGTGGATAACCCCCGTTGTGTGCATGTCCGGGACGTTCAGGAGGCGCCGGTCCGCGTCTGGGTCGCCTCGTATCGCGCTGCACTCGTCTACGGCCTGCAGAAAAACAAGGGCCGCGCCCAGACGCCGCGCGTCGCGACGAGCGCGCGTGTCCGCCTGAGCGTCTCCCAGTAGACGCCCATGCCGTAGCCGAGCCGAAAGTTCTCGTGCTTGCGCCGAGGGTCCAGGACGTTGTGGTTAACCGAGGCTACCGCCTGCTCCAAGGCAGACCTGATCTCTGGTGGGAAGGCCGTGCCCTCGCGCGTGCAGCCCAAGAACGCGATCAGAGGGCCCCCAGGCTCAAGGCGGCTCGTGCCCTCCAGTTCGAAGGCTCAGGGGAATTGAGAGAAGACCCTGATGGCGTGCTGAATATCCACCGTCGACGGCTTCGCGTATTTGTGCGACCCGTCGTCCAGGAGTTCGCTCACGTCCGTCAGGAGGCCGATGCTGCTAGTGGGCTTCGGCTGCAGGAAATCGCCGAGGTGCAACGCGATGGGGACGCGCCCGAAGTGGTGATGCGGCTTCTTGTAGGTGGACTCCTGCACGTCGTGCGTGTCACTGCGCGAAGGTCCAGTGCGTCGTACAGAGCTGCCGCCACCATGCTCACATCTTCGATGACAGGAGCACGAACGTGCTCCCACAACCGCTTCAACATCTTCTCCACGCCCCCCAGCCTCATTTTCGCGTTGATGTACATCTGGCCTCGCAGGGCACAGGCGTTGTGCAACGTTCTGGCTTTCACAGTCTCCGTGGAGATGGTCTTTGCTTACGCATTCGAGGAGGCCACAACCATCATGGCGCCCTTGTCCAGCGCCCCCGAGGGCCACACATACTCTACCAGTGGGAAAGCGATTTTCTGCACCACGCGAGTCTCCCCCGAGACGCCCTGGTCAACCAGTAGCAAGTGCTTCACTCTTTCCCAACCATCCTGTGGTGTTGGGTCCTCGTTTTGAAGGGACGGTCCCCGCGTTCTCCTCCTTCCTCCTCTCTCCCTCCTCCCTCCTCCCCCTCCCCCTCCTCCCTGCTTTTCCACCCACCCAATACAGCGCTTCGTGGCTCCATAGGGAACTCCACCGAATGCCCCAGTGGCAGGGCTCGCATGGCGGCCCCGCTCTATTTTGGCGCACCCCTCGCACGGTTCGTGGCCCCATAGGGAGCTCCACCAGAGGCCCCGGTGCCAGGGTTCGCACGGCGGCCCCGCCCCACTTTGGCGCACCCCTCACACGTTTCGTGGCCCGATACGGAGCTCCACCCACTGCCCCAATGACAAAGCTCGCATGGCGGCCCCGCATTTTGGCGCACCCCTCACACGGCCCGTGGCCCCATAGGGAGGTCCACCCAAACCCGTCGCGGCAGGGTTCGCATGGCGGTCCCGTTCTATTTTGGCGCACCCCTCACACGGTTCGTGGCCCCATAGAGAACTCCACCGAAGGCCCGCCCCAGTGGCAGGATTCGCATGGCGGCCCCGCGCCATTTTGGCGCATCCCTCACACGTTTCGTGGTCCCATGGGGAGTTCAACCGAAGGCCCCAGCGGCAGGGTTCGCATGGCGGCCCCGCCCCATTTCGGCGCACCCCTCACACGGCTCGTGGCCCCACAGGGAGCTCCACCGAAGACACCAATGGCAGGGTTCGTATGGCGGCCCCGCCCCACTTCGGCGCACCCCTCACACGGCTCGTGGCCCCACAGGGAGCTCGACCGAAGGCCCCAGTGGCAGGGTTCGCACGGCGGCCCCGCCCCATTGTGGCGCATCCCTCACACGGTCCGTGGCCCCATAGGGAGCTCCACCCAAACCCCCAGTGGCAGGGTTCGCATGGCGGCCCCGCTCTATTGTGGCGCACCCCTCACACGATTCGTAGCCCCATTTGGAATGCCCTTTGTTTCGTCCCACCTGCCCTGCGGTTCTCACACTTGCGTATGGTTGGGTCCTTCGCCAGGGTATGTTTTCACTCCAGGGCATCAGGCGCGAGGCCCACAAGTAACGACAGTTACAGGATGTTGGTGGCCTGTTCAGATTGCCAGCATGAAGTGCGGGCCCTATAGGGAGGGGGCTCTCGCCCGAGACTTCCTCGCAAGTCACTCGCAATCGAAGCTCCCGCCTGATGCTTCTTCAAACTGCAGGCATGAGGGCCACAAAGTCACGACGGTTACAGGATGGTGATGACCCGCTCGGGTTACCAACGTGAAGCGCGGGCTCCATAGGGAGGGGGCTCCCGCCTGAGACTTCTTCGCAGTTCTCTCACAAACGAGGCTCACGCTTTTGAGGCTTCTTCAAGTCTGCAGGCGCGAGGGGCGCAAAGTGACGCTGCAGTTACAGGATTGGGGCGACCCGCTCGGACTACCAACATGAAATTCGGGCCCCATAGGGAGGGGGCTCCCGCATAAGATTTCTTCACAACTCACTCGCACGCGAAGCTCCCCCCAGAGGCCTATTCAAAAATCAGGCGTGCGGGGCCCAAAAGTGACTACAGCTATAGGAGTTGGATGACCTGGTCGGATTGCCAGCATGAAGTGCGACCCCCCCCCCATAGGGAGGGGGGCTCCCGCCTGAGATTGTCTTGCAATTCACCCGCAAACGGACGCATGAGGCTTCTTCAAGATTCAGGCGCGAGGGTTTCAAAAGTGAAGGCATTTGTATGATTTGGATGACCCGCGCGGATTACCAATATGACACGTGGGCCCTATAGGGAGGGGGCTCCCGCCTGAGATTTTTTCGCAGGTCGCTCGCGAACGAGGCTCCCGCCCGAGGTTTCTTCGACATCCAGGCGCGAGGAGCCCAAACGCGACGACATGTACAGGACTTGGATGACCCGTTCGGACTGCCAATATGAAGCGCGGCCCCATTGTGAGGGGGCTCCCGCCTAAGACTTCCTCGCAATTCACTAGCAAACGAGGCTCCCGCCTGAGGCTTCTTCAATCTTCAGGCGTGAGGGGCTCAAAAGTGACGACAGTTACAAGATTTGGATGACCCGCTCGGGTTACCAACATGAAGCGCGGGCCTCATAGGGAGGGGGGTCCCGCCTGAGACGTCCTGACAATTCAGTCACTGACGAGGCTCCCGCGTGAGGCTTCTACAAGATTCTGGCGCGAAGGGCCCAACAGTGACGACAGCTGTAGGATTTGGATGACCCGCTCGGATGACCAACATGAAGTGCGGCCCCCATCGTGAGGGGGCTCCCGCCTGAGACTTCCTCGCAATTCGCTCACAGACGAGGCGACTCTAGGTCGATTATCATGATGGGATAGCGATCATGAAGACGATGGTGGTGTGCGCTGCTGATGGCCGATGATCATGATGGGAGCATGACATGATGATGGCTGAGTGATGAGTGAACGTGAGTGAGTGAGAGTAAGAGTGGATGACGATGAGGGTTGATGATGTTGATGGGATGATGGTAGTGATGATGTTGATGATGATGGTGATGATGATGATGGTGACTGTGATGATGATGATTGATGGTGATGATGGTGATGATGGTGATGATGGTGATGCTGATGGTGATGATGATGATGATGATGCTGTTGATGATGATGATGATGATGATGATGATGCTGACAAGGACAAAAGGAGAGTGTGAGAAGAGGACAGGGTGTGGGTGAACCCCACTTAGGATGAGTGGAAACAATGCCCTCGCCATCAGTTCTGCGCGCTCGTTCCTGGCCCAGGGGCCGCCGCCGTCGCACCGTGTGCCTCCCGCCCGGGGTGGAGGGCGGCCTCGCAAAGGCTTGCCGAGTGCTCGGTTTCGGCCGTCTTCCCCAGCTCTTTCGGCACGAGCTGCCTTGTCCTAAGCGACCAGGTGCAGTGCCCGAGCAAACACCCACAGCGAGATCTCAGGATGAGCGTTCCCGTCTGCGGCCTGCGCTCGCAGGTGGCGGCGGCGCGGCCCGAGAGCAAACGGCAGGTGGGCTTCGCAACGGAGACACACGGCTCGGAGGGCTCTCCGCCCAGCCGCGTCCACTCGTCTGACTCTGACCTCAATGACGATGTGGCAGCTGGCGCCTGCAACGGGCAGTCCTCGCGAGCGCGGCGCGATGCCATGGAGCACATGAGCAGCGGCGGCAGCTACCCGGTGCAGGTCAAGAACACGTTCATAGAGCTCCTGGAGGAGGGCGAGGAGGAGGACCCCATGTCGCTCTCCCTGTGGCCGCGGAGCAAGACTGTGCCCACTGGCACGGTCGCCTGCGACCACCGTCGTGGGCTCAGCGACGCCAGCACCATCGCGAGCAGCGACGAGGACGGCCGCGCCCCGACCGCAGACGATCCGGCGTGCGGCGGCTCGGAGGTGCGCCGCGACTGCTTCGGCAGCGGCGGCGGCCACTCGGTGCAGGTCAAGAACACGTTCATAGAGCTTGAGGACGTTGGCGAGGAGGATCGAAGAATAAACAGCTGCGTAAACATTCTTGGAGCTCCGCGCTGATTTCTTGGATCGGCGCTGGGCCCCCCTGGCGGCGCCCCGGGCGCCGCCCCTGGCGCGCTCCGCGCCAGGGAGAGGTGTCCACCGCCGATCTGTGAAGCCCGCGCGGAGTTCGGACAGCTTCTGGCTATGCCGTCTTTGCTCCTCGTCAGGAGGATCCCATCTCGCTCTCCCTGTGGCCGCGGAGCAAGACCGTGCCGCACGGCGAGCTCAGCCGCGACCTCCTCGGCACCAGCGAGGAGGGTGCCGACGCGAGCAGCGACGGCGAGGGCGGTGCCGCCCCGACGGGGTACGAGGCGGCGGGAGAGCGACTGCGGTGTGGCAGCTCGGAGGGGCTTCTCGAGCGTTTCAACGGCGTCGGCAGCGTCTCGGTGCAGGTCAAGAACACCTTCATTGAGTTGGAGGAGGATGACGAGGAGGAGGATCCTATGTCGCTTGTCTCGCGAAGCAAGACGGCGCCGAGTGGCGCGCTCGGTTGCGACTCCCTCCTGAACCGCGACGGCGCAGGCTCCGACATGAGCAGCGACGAGGACGGCGGCGGCCCGACCTTTGGCGAGTCGGTGGGAGGGCGAGTGCATTGCGGCAGTTCGGGTGAGCTCGTCAGCCGTTTCAACAGCGTCGGCAGTGTCTCAGTGCAGGTCAAGAACACCTTCATAGAGTTGGAGGAGGATGGCGAGGAAGAAGATCCCATGTCGCTTGTCCCGCGGAGCAAGACGGTGCCGAATGGCGCGCTCAGCTGCGGCATCCTCCCGAGCCGCGACGGCGCGGGCTCCGAGTCATGCGGTGAGGACGGCGGCGTCCAGGGCGTAGACGAGCCGGCGGCAGGCTTGGCAGCGCAGCAAGCGACGCTCTTCTGCAGCACGCCGACGCCTCGCTGGGAGGCAGCCTTGCCGACGCTTTGGCCGGCGGCGGCGGTGCACTCGGGCGCAGGGCTGGCGTTTGGGCACGCGCCAGACACGGCGGAGGGTCCCAGGCGGCAGGAGCGTGAGGAGGGCCCCGCCAGTGCCGCCCGCAGCGCGGAAGCTGTCACTCGGAGCGAGGGTGGCGGCCCCAAAGACCCGAAGACGACGGGCGGGAGTCGGAGCCTGCAGCAGCAGACCCTGCAGTCCAGTGAGGTCGACGGCTTCTCGCGCGCGCAGTGGACCGTGGACGGGCGGAAACTGAGAGGCTCCGACAAGCGGCTGGTGTCGCCCTCCTTCGACCTGGACCTCGGGCTCGGCGCAGGCCCCGTGGCGTTCGTCCTCGTGCTCTACCCCAAGAGCGCGACCTTCAAGGGCAGCTCGTCCTTCAAGGAGGCCGGAGGCCTCGGCCACGTGCAGCTGAAGTGCGTCTCCGAGCTGGACGGCGACGCTGCAGCTGTGAAAGTCCGCCTCTCGGTCGGGCGGGGGCGAGCGCGGCAGCTCCGCGGCCCGTTCGTGCACAGCTTCGCGGCGAGCCCGCTGCTCGCGCTGCCGAAGGCTCAGGCGGAGTGGGACTTCGGTGCAGCTGTTGAGGGGCAGCCCGCGTCCCTCTTCGTGAGCGTGGACGTCGCTCTGGCTTGAGCCTTTCGACCCAGGGGACCAGAGCTGCCGCCGGCGCCCCTGCTCACGGCAGGTTGGTGTCGTGTCGACGCTACGGCAACGCCCTTGGCGGTCGTTCTGGGTTGAAGGCCTCTGGAGGTCTGATGTCGACCAGTGTCAAATGATCTCGATTGTCCCCGATCGTTGAAAATTGACGATCCACGCAGCGTCCGAAGCCAATTCGCAAGTCGCCGCTACACAAACTTGCCGTGGCCGTGGTCTACTGTATGATTTTTGCCACCTCTCTTCGCGAATTCGTTGGTCCGCGATCGACACAAGTTCAACCAGGCGGGCTTTGCATTGGTGGCATTCGCCCACGCTTGACACCAATTCAAGCAGGTGGGACAGCATTGCAAGCGAATTCGGCTCTGCTGCAGCAGCGGAGCATGGCCCTCTGCACTGCTCAGCCGAAGCAGAGCAGTGTGTCCTGGCCTGTCTCTCGAATATCTGGGCCGCAACGCTGGCGTTGGCGGTCGATTACAGTGTTAGTACGTACTCGTAGTTCAAGGTTCACGACGTCCTAAGCGACGCGCATACAGGGCCGATCACCTGCGTGCCTATCGATACGCCTGGGGGTCGTAACAAGAGTTATGAGACCTGTGCTCGACTCCGGCCTAAGCCCGGCATCCACGATCTGTCTGAAGAGTAACGGTGTCCTCGCACCAGGGCGACAAGAACATGTGTGTTCCCCGCTTCGGCATTTGGGTGCAGCCCTCAGGTTTCAGACGCCCGAGTGGCCCGCGAACCTTGCCGGAACGACCGGATCGCCGTGATGTCGAGCTGTGGGAGAGACGGGGGTCAATGCAAGCGGGGGTCAGCCAGAGCGCCAGATCTTGCAGGATCCTCAAGAGCAAGGAGTGCGTGGACCTGCGCTTGCGCGCAGGATCTTGCAGGGTCCTGCAGAGCCTGGCCGGGTTTGCATTGACCCTGGTGAGTGCGTCCCCGATGATGGAGGATGGGTGAAGGGGGATGATTTGTTGCCGCGGGCCCCCCTGCGCCGGTGGGTGGCGTCGAAATCTTTTGTCAAGAGAGCCGGAGCGAGGACAGCCGTACCCAACCGGTGCGGTGCTTGCCTTACTTGGGGGGTTCTCTTTTCTGCTGGCAGGTGGCCGGATGGGCGTGGCGGGGTGGCGGGGTTTCGCATGGTGGGCGGCCGTAGGCGCTTCGTGGGTGCCTCTGGGGCGCCCCGTGTGCTGGATAGGTGCTGGGGGAGTTCGCCTGGTGGGCGGCCGTGGGGCTTACACCACGCGGATCCCACAAGACTGCTCACACCACATCGCCTGCACCACACACACACACACACGCATGCACACACGCACACACACACACAGATTGCGACACACTGCTTGCAGCGCGTGCAGCTTGCAACACACAGCGCGCACCACAAGTCGAGGAGGGGATCGACTACAGAATTGATTTACCACAATATTGATGTTTACGCCGAGTCTTCAACAGCAACACGTCGAAAGCTCGCGTGTCTGCGACAGTTCTACGACTTCCCCGGTGATCCTACGCGGAAAGCCAAGCCTGGGGCAGATCAGTTCTGCAGTCGACCCCCCACTCGCACATGGCGTTGCACACCCGGGGTGCAAGGAGCTCACTGCTTGGGGCCCACGCCGGCCTGCCTCTCCGGCACGAGGGCGCCGCGAGGGCTGCAGACCCGGGCCGTGCGCCGGAGCGCAACGGCCCTACGGCCCGAGGAGGCCCGAGGAGGCCCGACGGCCCAACGGCCCAGCGGCCCGACGTGCGGCTCGGCACGGCGGGGAGTGCAGCGGTTGGCCCCCGGGGCTCGAGATGCGGCCCGGCCTCGATCCCGAACCCAGGCCGCAGGCGAGGTGGGCCCTGACCTCAGCAGGAGGAGGAGGAGGAGGAGGAGGAGGAGGAGGCGGAGGAGCAGGAGGAGAGGAGAAGGAGGAGGAGGAGGAGGAGGAGGAGGAGAAAGGATGAGAAAGGAGGAGGAGGAGGAGACAGGAGGAAGACGGTGAGAGGAGGAGGGGTGAGGAGGCGGGAGAGAGCGGCCAGAGGAGTTGAGGGAGATTGGGAGGGGTGGCAGCGGGAGGAGGAGGTTGAGGAGGGGGGCAGTCCGGGAGGATGAAGCGCAGCAGGAGGAGGAGGAGGAGGAGGAGGAGGAGGAGAGGGAGTGAGGAAGCAGTGAGTGAGGAGGCAAGGAGGAGGAGGACGAAAGACAACAGGCAGGAATAGTAAGAGAGAGGAGGGATGATTATTGGTGATTGTGATGCTGGTGACGATTGTGGTATGATAGCATGACGGCGGCGGTTTGTTAGCCGCCCATCGGACAAAGTCCGAGGAGTGGTGGCGATGGTGGTGGTAATGGTTAGGGTGATGATGAGGGTTGTGGTGGGGATGGGGATCGGGACGTGGATAGATGGTGGTGTTGGTGGTGCTGACGACGGTGATGGTGGTGGTGACGATTGTGATGATGACTTTGGAGGTGGCGGTGGTGGTGGGAGAAGGAGGAGGAGGAGAAGGAGGAGGATGAAGGAGGATAAAACATGATGGCGATGATGCTGCTGTTGTTGTTGATGATGATGATGATGCTGATGCTGATGCTGATGCTGATGTTGCTGCTGATGAAGATAGTGATGATAGTGATGATGATGATGCTGATGATGATGATGATGATGATGTTGTTGATGTTGATGATGATGGTGATGGTGATGGTGATGGTGATGGTGATGGTGATGATGCTGCTGCTGATGATGATGACGATGATGATATGAATGTTGCTGTTGATGATGCTGCTGATGATGCTGATGCTGGTGATGTTGATGATGCTGCTGATGATGATGACAATGCTGCTGAGGATGATGATATTGATGGTGATGATGCTGATGCTGATGCTGATGCGGAGGATGAGTATGCTGATGATACTGATGATGCTGATGCTGATGCTGATGCTGATGATGCTGGTGATGATGATGATGATGCTGATGCTGATGATGCTGATGATGATGATGATGCTGATGCTGATGATGATGATGATGATGATGATATGATGATGATGGATGATGAGAGGAGATGATGATACTTGATGCTGATGATGCTGCATGATGCCGAGAGAGATGAGGCGCGATGCGAGGAGGAGGAGGAGGAGGAGGAGGAGGAGGAGGAGATGAGAAGGAGAGAGGGAGGAGGAGGAGGAGGAGGAGGAGGGGAGGAGGAGGGGAGGGAGGAGGAGGAGGAGGAACTCGAAGGGGGAACAGAAGTGGGGGTACGTAGGTCCGCGAGGCAGCGTGTGGCGGTGTGTCGCGGCGCGGTCCTCCTCCGCCTCCTCCCCCTCCTTCTGTCTGTCTTCCTCCTCCTTCTCCTCCTCCTCCTCCTGTCTGTCTTCCTCCACGAATGGTCTTCAGAGAGCGGTGCTTGAACCACTGGGCTCTATAGTTTGATCCACACCCTTAGGCCGACTGGCCCTGTGTGTGGGGGGGGGGGGGCGGATGCAGTCCGAGACTCCTCGCGCCATCGGGCAGCAGGAATCAGGAGGAGGACAAGTGTAAAGCCAAGACCCATACGTAGGCTATGATAAGAATGTTCCTCCTCCCCCTCCACCCTCTAGGCTATGGTAAGGATTTCTCCGCACGGAGGGAAGAGGCCCCGTTGGAAGACAACTGTCTGAGATTCGCCAGCCATGCCAAGGCACCATTCCTGGGACTTAAGCTCCGCGAGTAGGCGTTACTGGTTGCGACCTGGCGATCCTAAGCCTTGCCAGACCACCATTTCTGAAGCGTCAACGCCCCGAATCAACGTGACTGTCGCGCCCTGACAATCCTAAATCGTGCCACAACATCAGCTCTGGGACATGAGCCATATGATTTGTTGAACCGGATGTATACTTTTGAAGCGAATGTGCGCGGCGCGAAGGCGAGTGCAACATGTTGGAGAGGAACCGCCCGCCATCCGTGAAGCTCGTGCAAACTTTTAAGACGAACGTGCGCGGCGCTATAGGGCGAAACCCACATTTTGAAAACAACCCGCCGTGCATCCTTGAGGCTCCTGCGAACTTTCAAGACGAATGTGCGCGGCGCTAAAGCGAGAGCCACACGTTTGAAACGTTTGGCCCACCATCCGTGAAGCTGCTGCAATAGTTTAAGACGGATGTGTGCGGCGTTAATGCGAGAGCCACCTTTTGAAAACCGCTTGCCCTCCATCGCTTCGACTGTTGCAAACTTTTAAGACGAATGCGCGCGACGCAAAGGCGAGAGTCACATTTGAAAACGACACGCCCTCCATCAGTGAAGCTTCTCCAAATTGTATGCTTCAGGATCAAACACGGTGAAGAAGTCTCCGGCGAAACGCCCAGCCCCGTCCTACCGACCCGCCTCGGGGTGCGCCAGGGAGGAAACATTTATCATGATAAGGGATGGAGGAGAAAGGGGGAGGAGAGAGGTTGATGGAGGTGGAGATGGAGAAGGAGGAGGACATAAATGAGGAGGAGGAGGAGGAGGACACGGAGGAGGAGGAGGAGGGGGAGGAGGAGGAGGAACGAGGACGAGCAGGATGAGCAGGAAGGCCAGGAGGAGCAGGAGGAACGAGGACGAGCAGTAGCAGGATGAGCAGGAAGAGCAGTAGGAGGAAGAGCTGGAGGAGGAGGAGGAGGAGGAGGAGGAGGAGGAGGAGGGAGGCTGATGAATGGATGGGGGGAGGGGGCATGACAAGCTAGGTGCGCTCGCGTCATATCTGACATCCTACCCCTTCCTCCCATCCCTTACCATGGCGCAGATCCCCTGTCTACTCGCTCAGTCGGATGTCGAGCAGGGCAATGATCCCGAAAGGGTACGCGATGCATTGTAGAGCACGGCATGGCATGGCGTAGAAGAGCACCGCAAGGCGTAGTATCAACCTAGCATTGCATTGCATGCCGTGGCATGGCACGGGAAATGACGCCAGCGCTGCAGCGGGAGCACGAGTCGAAACGAGCGGAAGCGCGGAATTTGAAGCCAGCGCTGCAGCGGGAGCACGATTCGGAGCGAGCGGAAACACGGAAATGAGGCCAGCGCTGCAGCGGGAGCACGATTCGGAACGAGCGGGGCCCGAAAATGAGGCCGGCGCCTCAGCGAGAGCAGCATTTTGGAAACAAATGCAGGCGAAAACCCAACTCCAGGGAAACCTGTGTGTAAAGAAACAGTACGCGGGGGGGGGGGTCGGCCACTTGCAAACCGTCATCAGGGGAAGAGGGAGAGTAGTATTAATATTGAGTCATTGTAGAGGAGGAGTGGGACTCCCGGGCTCCCGAGCTGCGGAACGGAGCCATCCAGGGCCCACAAACCGATCCCCAGGAGGGGACCGAGAGGTCTGGGTCGTGCGTGGCGCAATGGATGGATGGGGGGGGGGGGGGGGGGGGGGCGACTCCTGGGAAGGTGGAGAGAGGCGCCCCCTCGTGTGCCCAGAAGTGGGGCCCCAGAGGGGCTCGAGAGGGCACACGCTTTGCTGCGTGCCCCACGTGCCGCCCCTCACGCGGCAACGCCAAACTGGGGGGCAGGTCCTCAAGAAGCACGACGGAAGTCTGGGTCTCTCTTTTTTTGTTTTTTTTTCTCTCTCTCTCTCTCTGTCTTTTTTTTTCTCTCTCTCTCTCTCTCTTTCTCTATCTCTCTCTCTCTCCCTTTCTCTCGCTCTCTCTCTCTTTCTCTCTCTCTCTCTGTCTCTTTCTCTTTTTTGTTGTTTCTCTCTCTCTCTCTCTCCTTCTCTTCTGCACTGATCATGTCCGCTCGACTGGCAAGCTTGCCAAAGAGTGCGAGCCCCCCAAGGCCTCCAGGGCTCGAGTATTCAAAAAGGATTTGGGGAAACACGTGCGCCTTGACACGCGGAGCTGTCGAGGGAGATCCACGGTCTGAGGTGGTCGTGGAGGGAGCGCGAAGCGCAGAGGCGAATCCAACATCTCTCTCTCTCTCTATCTCTGAGAGAGCCCCGCATTCGTCGCTGGTTGTCTTCGGGGCATCGTGCAGTCGGGGCCCTGAAGAAGGAACCCTTTTCGTTGGGGAGGGGCTCCGTGTTCCTTAAGTGTTTCGCAGCTTGCCTCAGGCTTTCCTTATGTTTTCGATGGGAACTCGAAGTTTAGCTTATGGAAAATAGGGGCCTCGTTCCTTATTCAGGGTTCCTTAGGTCAACGCCCCGACTGTATCACTCCAAGTGGGTCCTCTCTGCCCACCCCGCCTGCCAGGACATACTCCACGACAGCGCGCGGATAGCAGCGATCCTGGACATCCGTCAGCTGATCGGTGGGCAGACGGAGCTGCAGGCTGGATCTTGGGGTAGGGGAGCGCGAGTCAAACTCACGTTTGAGCTGGAGGTGGCTCGGGGTCTGATGTGGCCCAGCACTTGTTCAGACGAGCAGGAAGGGTGGGCAGGTTCGAGGTTTTTGGCTCAGTTTTTTTGTTTTTTTTGTTTTGACTTTTTCAGCCTCCAGTGAGCTTTTCGGGCCCAGTGACGGCAAAAACGGATCCGAGGGGGGAAAAGTTGTGCCATATGGACCCCAGGATGGGTCCAGTGACCGACTTTGAACGGATTTGGGTTCATGCCCCATTCTGAATGATTTTCTGGGGCCCCGACAAGTTCAACCTCCTCGGCCGCCTCCAACCTTTGAGCACCCTCGTCATTGTCCTACCCTCCTTGCTGCTGGACTTTGTGCCGTTGCCATCCCGCACTTCCCCCTGCTCCTGCTGGCTTCTGCTACGCTGGTGACTACGGTGCCAAGATCACTGCTTCTCCCGCTACTGCTACTGCAACCGCTGCTGCTGCACCTGCCGTCACCGCCACCTTAACCACATACCGGCCCATTTCCCTCCTGAGCGATCGGTACCCTCGATCTGACGCAGGGCACCCCGCGACGGCCACAAGAGTATTCAACGTCTCGAATGTGAAGCGCAAAGGAAAAGCGGGGCTCCCCCTCGCTGTGCGGTGCAGCGCATACGGTTGCCGTGTCGCGCCGCCAGTTCTGGCCCACCACGCTTCGGCGCGACACGCAACAGTCAACCCGCATGGTAAGGATGGGCAACCTTTCCTAGGCTGCGCTTGCGTCCTTGCCCCTTCGGCCCATCCTCAGCGACTTTCGCTGGCCAGCCTCGCTCGACAAACGTTAGCATGGCCCTCCAAGGCCCTTGCATCCTCACCGCGCATCCTTATTCTACGGATTGACTGTAAGCATGTCCCGTTCCCCGAGCATCCACGCTACGCGCTTCCCAGCCTCCCGTCCCACGCGGAGCGGAGCGACACGCGATCCGTTGGCAGGGCACAGCGTGTCGCCCTGGCTGAGCGGCCGACGCACATGTCTCACGATTTCAGTGGCCGTGCGCTCGGGCTCGCCGCGCGGGGCGACCACCAGGTACTTGTAATCAAGGGCACAAAAAAACGCCCCTAACCTGGTTTACGAGGCGCTGTGCGCTGAAACTCCGGTGGGCTGACAGGATAAACCCTGCGTGATGTGCCGCGTATTGGCGTCTCTAGGCTTTGGGGGTTCCCAGGAGGTTTACAGACCGCGCACTTGTAACCCAGGGTAGGGTCGTCTTTTTTCAACCCTTAATGTAAGCCCCCAGATATCCGGAGGACTGCTCTGCGCCATCCCAGCGCGATTCTGACCTCGGCCTCTGGGGGGCCACTTCCGGACCGGAGGGCCAGCAGAGGTCGACCCCGGACGGAAGGCTACCCGCGGGAAGCCGTCGGGAGCTCTTCGGGCCAGTGATCGAAGCGAGGCTGGCTGAGGGGTGCGTGTCGTGGAGAACAAAGAGCTTGGAATCGCTCGGAGGTGTGCATTTTTCCTTCGGCGAGGACCATCGAGGAGCATCCTTGATCATTTGACGAAAAACACCACGCACGAAACCGAAAAAAACACAGGGAATGGACGTCCGAGCGATGGCGAGAGGGGAGCGGATGACGCACGTCCTGATGGGCCACGTCCAGGAACGCGCAGATTCGCTATCGGGGGCTGTCGCCGATCCGTCGGCGATGCATCGCCCGTTCCGGCTCCGTGTTTCGTCCCCCGGAGCCGGTCTCCAATTCTTAGCGCCCAGCGTTTCCCCTGGCTGCAGGGTGCCCTGACTCTCTTGACGCTGAAATGCCTTGCGCGAGCCATGGATACACCGCCTGGCCCAGGGCACCCTGAGGTTCTTCGCTTGCAGCCGCTGCGCAAGAAACCCAACCCTGGTCTACGAGACTTCAGCGATCTTCATGGTTGGGCCTTTTGCGATGGGCTTCTTGTGGCCAACGAGTCTTGACTGTAGCGTTAGTAAGCCCAAGATTCGCTATCCCCCCCACAAGTAGCAAAAACCCTTTTGAAACCTTTTCTGATCCTTCTGGAAAGCTCCCCAGAAGCCTTTCGGGAGGGTTTTCAAAAGGTCTCGGGAACGTCTCGGTCGGCTGGGGGGGGGAACCACCAGTCCTTAGCCCCAGTGAATTCTGGTCTTTCTGACTGTAGCGTCCCCCCTTGCAGGAGCGGCTGACGCACATCCTGATGGATCACGACATCACCTCCGACGGCGAGGGGGACTACCTCATCCCCAGCGCAGCGTCCCCGGCCTGGGACCGGTTGCAGGTCTCCGCGGCGCTGCGGAACAAGATCTCGCTGCGGATCCGGCGCATCCAGGCGGACGGCTGGGGTCAGTTCAGGAGGAAAAGAAACACACAGACACAATGAACCCTCGATTCCCCAGAAAATATGGGAAAATATGGGAAGTGGGCGGGAGGACAGAAACCCAGAAAATATGGGAAAATATGGGGAATCGGTTTATTTGTGTGTATTTAGTTGTGTGTCCTTGGGCCCCTTCATCAGTATCTTTTAACCTGTCCCCATCCCCACTGGGCCATGGCATCTCAGCTCCACCACCCCACCGCCCCAGGTGGGGATAGGCCCTCGAAGCCCGAAGGGAGCAGCCTGTGTCTCCATCCAGGGGGCTGCGTCGGCCAGTGGGGCACAGGCCACGCCAGTGGGGATCGGGATCGAGTAAACACTGCTCAGGTTGGTGCCAGCCTGCGCTCGAGAGGTTTATAGATTCTCCCCTGGCGATAATGGGGATGGGGTTCGAGTTGATGGGGTCGGAGGCTCGCGCCTCATCGCCGAAGCATCGCCAACGTCACCGATGCATCGCCGACGTCGCCGATGTATCGCCGATGCATTGGGCGATGCGGCGCGGTCCTCCGACCCCATCTGCTCGGACCCCATCTGGGAGGCCTCTGGAAGCCCCGCCGCTTTCCGAGAAGGCCTGCCACCTCTCACCTCATCCCTCGGCGAGCCGCCGAAGGAAGCCATGATTGCACGCAGGGCTGGACCTGAACGGTGCTTGGGCCATCTCGTGGGCCGTTCCATCCGCATGCGAAGGGCGAAGCGAAGGCGGAAAGGGGGCAGCACCTTCAGCACAACGACAACGGAGAGCACCGTTCAGGCTCAGCCCCGACGGAAAGAGGGCCTTCCCGCCCGCCCGCCCGCCCCGCCTCGGAGAGAGAGAGAGAGAGAGCAGCAGCGCCGGGGGCACACGGCCCGGAGCGCGGGCGGCCCTCCCGACTGGCCGCCGGAGGGCAGGGGGGCGCCCCCGTGGGTGCCGGCCCCCTGCCCCTGCGGGCTCCAGCGGGGGGGCCGGGGCGGGCCTCGCCGGCTGGTAATGCACAACAGTTATTGAATAGAAGATTAGAGTTGAACGATAATGCAATGGTAGAAGTAATGGAAATGATGGGCAATACATGTGAATTAGATAGAACTACGTCATTCCATGTTTAATTCCATCACTATAATTGTATCATTGAACATTTCATGTATTAGAATTGAGTTCTGGTAATAATTTTTTTCAATTGAGATTTGTATGTATATTTCGGAATTCAAAAACAACTGCTCTTTTGTTTTAAAAAATACAAACCATATAATTTTATACCATGTCTTTTTTTTTTTCGGGACAGAACAACTTGCTTGGCAGCATCGGCGCTGGTATGCAGTCAAGTCGCATTGCGCATCGGTCGTTGGAGGTAGGCTTTTTTGTGGACTCCCAGGTTCCAATCTACTTGTTAGGCACCTTCCTACTTCAAGGATCGAGTGGTGCTCCTTTTCTCCTGCGCCTTTAGGGGGCGGGCGGGGACTCAATCTACTTCCAAAGCCGTCCTACTCCATGGTTCTACCCACTGCTTCCGACTGGCGTGTAGCAAGGATGAGCATTTTTCCAAGGCTACCCTTGCATCCCTAGGGCCTTTCGGGCCCATCCTTAGCGACTGTCGCTGGCCAACCCTGTCCTTAGCGACTGTCGCTGGCCAACCCTGTTCGGGAAGGCCTGCATGGCCCTCCAAGGCCCTTGCATCCTTCCAAAGGCATCCTTATTGTGCGACTTGACGGTGCCCGTGGTCGGAAGCCGGCCTTGTCTGGCATAGTCATGTCTGATCCGCCCAGTCCCACTTATGTCAGGAAGGAAAAACACACACAGACACAATTAACCGTCGACTCCCCGGAAAATATGGGAGAATATGGGCAGTGGGGGGGAAGATGAAAACCCAGAAAAATGGAAAATATGGGACAGCCTGAAAATATAGGAAAATATTTGAAAAACTCAGGCCTGGAAGCGTCCGAGAACGCTGGAGATCCATTGACGTCTGCTCCGAGACGGCGCAAGCGGGCCTCTAGACACCCCAACACGGTCACATGAGGGCCCAAGACGGCCGCGAAATTGCCCACAGGCGGCCCCATGATTGGCCCAAAATGATTGCAAACCAACCGGCACAAGGCCCAAGAGACTCCCAAAACGATCGAAGACGGCATCAAGCGGCCCAGACCCCCGCTGGACGCCCGAATACGGCCCGAATGTGACCTGGAAGAGGCGCTCGGAACTTGGGGAAACATCGATGTTTCAGTGTTTTTTTGCATATGATTTTTGGATACTCGCTCACTCGGACATCCAAGCGTCCGAGAACGCTGGAAAGGTACTGGAAAGCGCTCCAAGACGAGCCAAACGCGCTTCCTTCTCACCCCAACACGGTCACATGAGGGCCCAAGACGGCCGCGAAATTGCCCACAGGCGGCCCCATGACTGGCCCAGAATGATTGCAAACCAACCGGCACAAGGCCCAAGAGACTCCCAAAACGATCGAAGACGGCATCAAGCGGCCCAGACCCCCGCTGGACGCCCGAATACGGCCCGAATGTGACCTGGAAGAGGCGCTCGGAACTTGGGGAAACATCGATGTTTCAGTGTTTTTTTGCATATGATTTTTGGATACTCGCTCACTCGGACATCCAAGCGTCCGAGAACGCTGGAAAGGTACCGGAAAGCGCTCCAAGACGAGCCAAACGCGCTTCCTTGTCACCCCAACACGGTCACATGAGGGCCCAAGACGGCCGCGAAATTGCCCACAGGCGGCCCCATGACTGGCCCAAAATGATTGCAAACCACCGGCACAAGGCCCAAGAGACTCCCAAAACGATCGAAGATGGCATCAAGCGGCCCAGACCCCCGCTGGACGCCCGAACACGGCCCGAATGTAATTTGGAAGAGGCGCTCGGAACTTGGAAAAACATTGATGTTTCAGAGTTTTTTTGTTTGTAAATGTTCGGATGCTCGCTCACTCAGGCTTCCAAGCGTCCGAGATCGCTAGACAAAAAACGCCGAAAACCGCTCCCAAACAAGCCAGACGAGTTTCCTGACAGCCCAAGAGGGCCCCATGAGGGCCCAAGACGACACCCAAACTGCCCACGGGCGGCCTAAACACGGCCCCAAATTGTTGTCTTCAAGACAATTTCCCCAAGAATGCAACACGTGATCTGGAACCACGACTCCCAGTATGGTGGCTCGAGGACCTCCCCACTGGTCGCCGAAAGGCGCCACGGCCGCCTCCAGAGGCTCTCAAGGAGCCCGAACAATGCTTCCGCGAAGCTCTCCAGAGATTCGCCACGGAGAGGAGCTTCCGCGAAAGAATCAGAAGAGGACGAAGACGCCTTAGTATGCCAATTCGCTCGAGAATGAGGAAGAGAAAATTAACGAAGACAAAAATAAGGAAAGGAACAAAAAGAACAATGTCTCCACGGTAATGGCAACATCGGCCACCAGAAACGATTTCTGTCTTGATCGGCTTACCTCTCTCAGTCTGCCTGCGTTGTCCACTTATCGGACCAAGGTGCACGGCGCGAAGCGCCAATCCATGCACACACACATATATATATATATATATACATATATATATATATACATATACACATGAAAGTATAGGCTTATATGTGTACATGTATATATATATATATATAAGTATAACGATATATCGCATTGGGCGCGCGACAGTGTCTGCAGCACCTGCGGGCAAAGACAGGCAACAGAAAGCACGGCAGCAGAAAGCGGCCAAAGAACGGCGCGGGGTTGAGCACCCGCCGCCTGCACCCCGGGGGTGGTGCCCGAGGAGCGCAAGCATGACGAAGAGATTTGTTTGTTTTGATTCGCGGGTCGAGAGCGCACCTCTTCCGGTGGAAGCTAAGCGGGCCGCGCACAGCTTTAATCTAACAAGGAGGGGGGGGGCACGACGAAGCGACAGGGAACATCACCGACCTCCCTCCCCTCCCCCTCGGATGGCGGCCCCGCCCGGGGGGTCCGCAGGCCGAGCCCTTGTGCCACCGGCTGTGCTGGAACGGGGACACGGAGCCGCGCCGCCGCGCCCCGCGCGCGTTGCCTCCCGGAGGTCCCCCCCCCCCCACCCCTTTTGGGGGGGGGCGGGCGCCCCCGAGGGAGGTCGGCCTGGAGCCCGCGGGGGGAGCAGCGGGGAGGAGGGAGGGGGGGCGGCGAGGGAGGGGGGGCGGACAGGAGGGAGGAGGAGAGGAAGTGGACGGGAGGACGGGAGGAGGAGGAGGAGGAGGAGGACTAGGACAAGGAGGAGGAGGAGGACGAGGAGGAGGAATGATGATGATGCTGATGATGCTGATGATGAGGATGAGGATGAGGATGAGGATGATGCTGATGCTGATGCTGATGATGCTGATGATGATGGCGATGATGATGGTGATGGTGATCATGCTGGTGATGTTGATGGTGAGGATGATGAGGAGGATGATGCTGATGATGATGACGATGGTGAGGACGATGGTGATAGTGCTGATGATGCTGATGATGAGGATGATGAGGAGGAGAATTATGATGCTGATGCTGGTGATGATGGTGCTGCTGCTGCTGATGATGATGATGAGGATGCTGATTATGCTGATGATGAAGATGAGTGCGGTGAGGATGATGAGGATGATGATGCTGCTGCTGATGATGCTTCAGATGATGATTGTGGTGATGATGATCATGATTGTGATGATTTTGCTGATGAGGAGGATTATGTTGATGATGGCGATACTGTTGATGATGAAGATGATGTTGATGATGAAGATGATGGTGATGGTGATCATGCTGATGATGAATATGATGGTGATGGTGATCATGCTGATGATAAGGATAATGAGGAGGCTGGTGCTGCTGCTGATGATGCTGATGGTGATGATTATGATGATTATGATGATGATGATGATGATGCTGATGATGATGATGATGATACTGATGATGCTGCTGATGATGATGAGCATGATGCTGATGATGATGATGACGATGATACTGATGTTGGTGATGATGCTGATGAGGAGGAGGAGGAGGAGGAGGAGGAGGAGGAGGAAGAGGAGCGAGGAAGAGGAGCGAGGAGGAGGAGGAGGAGGAGCGAGGAGGAACGAGGAGGAACGATGATGAAAGAGGATTCGGAGGAGAAGGGAGGAGGGGGAGGAGGAGGAGGGGCAGGAGGAGGCGGAGGAGGAAGTAAACGGGGAGCAGAAGGAAGAACGAGGAGAATGAGGAGGAGGAGGCGGAGGAGGCGGAGAGGAGGAGGAGGAGGAGGGACCAGGAGGAGGAGGGG